CAGATCTGAATATGAATCATGCTGTTCTGATTGGAATTTGGAATGCAACAATGCAAAAATAAAGTTTGCAAACACTGCAAGTGTTTGTGTTGTTTCTGACCAAAGTGCCATCTGATCTACCTGTAAAACAACCAGAAACAGTTTACTTTTTTCGTGATATTTAGGGGTGCGCCTGAGAACAAACCAAAATATATACTGTATCTCCTTTACTAACTAAGCTGCAAAAACAGTGGAAACCCAACAGGAGTATGCAGTTTTGAGAAATATGTTTCGAGAGGGTCTGTGGGTGTGTCATTTGAGCCGAATACAGTTCGGTTGGTTATCTGCAGTTTAATTGCAGCTTTGGTGCTGTAATTTGTCATTTTGTGCTAGTAGTTTGTTCATGTGTCATTGTGTCCTTCCTCACAGAGGCACCTCCAATGATGAGATGTGTAACTTCTACATCATGTACTACATGGACAACAGCCATGCTGTGCCTTACATGAACTGTGGAGATGACGGCAGTAGTGAGCTGTTCAGAAACATCCCTTCTGAGGCCAATATTCCCATCCCGGTCAGTCCAGACCACATGATGTCCATGAAGCATGAGTCAGCTCCTCATAAAGGTACCATCCAAAAATAGACGGTTGAAGATTTTACACTATGAGTGGGCAGTATGACTGAAGTCTTATACCATGGGATGAATGCATTACTTTTAGGGATAATCCAGTGAAACCAGAATCCAGTTAATATTTTGCAAATGAAATATACTTGATTTTGTTGTTGTTGTTTTTTCTTATTTCTTTCTTGATTTCCACAGATGTTGTGGAGCTGCAGGAGCCCAAGAGAGAAGAGGAAGTTCTGGATCAGGGTAAGATGTTTAAAAATACTCAAGATAATCAAGACTGAAACACACAATCACTGTGCTTGAATGACCATTGCAAATCTCCATTTGACAGACACAGTGGCTGAATGACATTCTTTTATTGTGAAAAACACAGTGGTTTAACAGTCAAACTGTAGTACAACTCATAAATAGAGGCTCATAGACATGAGGGTGTCAGATAAGGGAGATGTCCAAATGGAACAAAAAAATCAAACAGGATATGAGTGGCATGAGCCTTGATAAAATGTTAAACACTTCACACATTATATGATTCATTAGTGACATGAATAACTTTAAAGAAAGGGATATTATGGAAACCAAACAAAAAACCGCCATCATCTACTACTCCATGTAGCTGTCAATGAAAATCAGCTGTGTGCGTTGACATGTTTATCGAAGATTTTTTAAGACATAAAAAAATCACGTTTTCTTTCATCGTTTAGCTTGTAAGTTAATTCTGCAACTGTTTGATTATGAATGCACTAGTGCATGACAGCCTTTACAGAAACACATCAACGCCTTTGACGTTAAAGGGGTCATCAGATGCAAATTTCACTTTTACGTGTTGTTTGTACATAAATGTGTGTTGGCAGTGTGTGTTACACAACCACCCTATAATCATAAAAATCCACCCAGTGTTTTTTTTTTTTTTTGATCCCTATAAATAATATCCCCTTTCTCAAATCATTAGCATTTAAAGAGACATGCAACAAAACGGGTTGCTGTGAAGTTAGCTGTTTTTGACAGGGTAAAAAGGGTGTTGTTTTACACTACCATTGAGAAAATTTTAACCAAAGTATGTTATAAATTTTTTGATTAAGACCCTAAAGCATCATATCAATTTGTGGAAAATGGGCATCTGATGACCCCTTTAAGAGTTGTGAAACTTGTGAAATGTCTCTCACCAAACATTGTACTGTTTGTGAACATCACATTTCGAGTACCTGATCACGTTAGTTTGGGATTGTATGTATCTTTGCTACATTTTAGCATGGATAACTTGTCAATAAGTCACAAAACTGTTATTAAACAGTCAAAAGATTATTTTCACTCTGGTCAGCTTTCAGATAAACTCAGTATAAATACACATTGCTGTTCCTGAAGTTATTAGATATGTTATCACCAAAACCCTGTTTTTCATCAGTTAAACAGGTGAACAGATAACTACTAATCCACCACAATTCAAACATAAGACTGCATTCGAAGCGTTTTGCCATTTACCAACAGTTTTTAATGCATGTATGACCCCTTTAAGAGTTGTGAAACTTGTGAAATGTCTCTCACCAAACATTGTACTGTTTGTGAACATCACATTTCGAGTACCTGATCACGTTAGTTTGGGATTGTATGTATCTTTGCTACATTTTAGCATGGATAACTTGTCAATAAATCACAAAACTGTTATTAAACAGTCAAAGATTATTTTCGCTCTGGTCAGCTTTCAGATAAACTCATTATAAATACACATTGTTGTTCCTGAAGTTATTAGATATGTTATCACCAAAACCCTGTTTTTTATCAGTTAAACAGGTGAACAGATAACTACTAATCCACCACAATTCAAACATAAGACTGCATTCGAAGAGTTTTGCCATTTACCAACAGTTTTTAATGCATGTATGGTGGGAGGCATTGATGCAATGCCAGCAGTGGGCATAAGTGTTAAAGTAAAGCAAATGTTTCATTCACATCATCAAAGACAGGGATTAAACACAGTTATGACTGTGTGGGGAAAATATCACCATAACTTGACCTCAGGGAAAATAATTATATATTGAAAATAATAAGTCATGACCCATTTACCCATCTTGAACCTGCTGAGAGCTCGCTGGCACATCTCAGAGATTTCTCTGCATGAATTAAAAACAGAATCTGTTAGCATCTCATTTTTGCACAAATTTAATCCCAAGACTGCTTATATTTAGCTTCATAACAAATGTATATACCTTCCTAGGGGAAGGCTAGGCTATGAATCCTATTTATGCTTATAAAATGGCTGTGCATAGTGTTGGATTGTTCCTTTCCATATTGTGGTTTTTTATAAAAAATATTTACAGAATAGATTTATGAATGTTATGTATTAGCACAGCTCCCTGTGGAGACAGAACAGTGACGGAATTTTGCCTATGCATTACTCACTTCCCAAACCACCTCCACAATACTTTTGGCATTGTTTTAAATGCATAGAGTCCAAACATGATTGAAAACGATAGACCTATCATGCATGCTTTCATTTGTATGGATTGTTGTACTACAAACAGCTTGTCAATAATAATACTTATTTCTCAAAATAAGTATGGTTTTGTTACATTGGAATTGTTCAAGGATTGTATACTTTTTGTGTAGAGACTTGGCTATATTTGTTTAAGCCACAGCTGTTGCATGGCCAGTAAAATACCTTGCTGCATCTTGAAGTTTTTTATGGCCACTCTGACCTGAACCTTGGTGTCACAGTCTTCAGCGGGTGTGCCCAGGAAGGCCACCAGATGTCACTGTTTTCTGTGAGCACATGGCTTGTGTTGTGTTTGTCTGGTGCCATGTGCTCTCTCCTGTCTATTGTCTTGCCCCACCCATCTTGTTACCTCATTATTGTTTAAGTTGTTCCACCCGTGTCTCCCTCGCTAGCCTCCACATTTGGTTTCCTATTTATTCTCCTGGTGTCTGTAATCCTGTGCTGATCCGTCGTTTTTCATTGTGTGTGTTATGTCTGCATGTAGTGCAGTTCCTAGCCTGCCTGTCTGTTTTTCCCCCTCGGGGTTGTTTTAGTTTGTTTTTGTTTCATTTTATTATTAAAGAAAGAACCATTCATCCTGCACTTGAGTCCTCGCTTCATCTCTCCACACGCACCGTGACACTTGGGGTGCAAGTCAAGATGGGTTGAAAGGCAGTTAGTTAATAAGAAACAATATTTGGACCAATGAGAAATCTTTTCCAGTGGTAATGGGATCTTCTTCTTGCTCTGTAGGAGGTGTCTGGCAGTTGTCTTAGAAGACTTAGAATAAAATCTTATCAAACATTTCACCACTGGCAGTCAGAGAAGGGCCTTGCTGCTAACTACACTGTTGGCCCTTACCGTATATATATATTTTTGACCAGTAATCGTTCTAAATTAGTGTAAAATCTCATTTGGTAATGCTTATTGATTATGGAAAATCAGAGTGGATTTGATTCTGAGCTGGTGAAAAGAAATTACCAACAGAGTGGTGACATCACATCGTCAGATAAAACAAAACATCAACCAGCACTTCATTAAAAAGCGTCACGGTCGCACTAAATCTCATATAGCAGCAGAAGGCATTTTACAATTGCCTTGCAATGAAAAGAGCTTTTCTCAATTAAAGTGCTGTTTCTAGAGCCTACACAGAGGCGCAGCACAATGGTTTTTAAAGGGATGCATCAGGTGTATCCTTCACATCTTCTAATCACCCACAATCCTTTGCACACAGTCCCTATTCACAGAAAAATGGCAGAAAAACTATTCAGCACCGAACTGGCTCAAGTTCATCATGAAATGGTAAGGAGTCATCAGAAGAGAAGTTGACAACAGTGGTACAGAAACCTGGGCAATGCTTCAGGGATTTGCTTATGATTTCAGAGACCTTTGTGTGTGACAGAAGCCAGACTTTAAAGAGAAAAACCTGGTATATAGGAAATTAAACAGCAGGAATTTATCAGGGGTACTATCACCAAAGTAGAGCAGCTAATAAATGCTGGTTCTGTGGTGAAGAAGTACTGTTTGAAAGTACAAGGGAGAAATGCCAAAAACAAAGACACATTTAAGGTAGAATCACTATAAGATGGACCTACTGTACAAAGCCAGAATATCATCTATGAAAGTTGCCTGTTTGGACAATCAGAGGTTTCTGTTTGATATAATATTTCACCAGGCCTTAGAGAAAGACAGTCATTGATGCTTATCCAATGTCACCGATCTATGAGACACTGGAGTCCCAGATGGTGCTGGCTGGTTCAGCACACTAAACTTGTTAGCTTACTGTCAGGTAGGGAGCTGCTCATGTTCTGAAAGTTTGGGGTCACTTAGAAATCTCACATTGTTCATGAAAACATACATCAAATAATTGTTTTTTCTTTCGTCAAAGAATCTTCTATCTGTAGATCTTTGACATTCTATTCATCAATTCTTTCAGGTAATCTGAGGAAATGTCATCCCATCTCCCACAAGCAGTTGCCACCTCAGTGCTATTCTATTAATTAATAAGTTGAAGGTGTCCCACTTTACATTAGGTGGCCTTGACTACTATGTACTTACATCAAAAAATAAGTACAGTGTACTTACTGTGTTCATATTGCAAGATTAGCATGTTACTAACATGATGTTAACATGATTAACAAATTACTAGCATGGTTAACAAAGTTACTAGCATGATTTTAGCATGATTAGCATGTTGCTAGCATTTTTCTAACATGTTTAACATGCTACTAGCATGATTAGCATGTTGCTAGCATGTTGTTATCATGATTAGCAAGATACTAGCATGATTAACAAGTTGCTAGCATTTTGTTAGCATGTTTCTAGCATGATTAACATGTTACTAGCATGTTGTTAGCATGATTAGCAAGTCACTAGCATGTTGCTAACATGTTTCTAGCATGATTAACATGTTACTATTATGTTCTTAGCATGTTTCTATCATAATTAGCATGTTACTAACATGGTGTTAGCATTATTAGCAAATTATTAGCATGGTTAACAATTTACTAACATGTTTCTAGTATGATTAGCGTGTTATTAGCATGTTGTTAACATGAACAGTAAGTTACTAGCATATCTCTAGCATGATTAGCATGTTACTAGCATGTTGTTAGCATGATTAGCAAGTTACTAGCATGATTCTAGCATGATTAGCATGTTGCTAGCATGGTTCTAGCATGATTAACGTATACGTATATGTGTAATTATAAATGTAATTACAGAAATGAATTACAGATGTAATTACATGCAGGTATTTTTTAAAATAGAAGTACAATGTCAAAACATGTGTGTACTGTACACAATAAGTGCATTGTACCAAATGATTAATTTAAAGGGGACATAACACACACAGTTTCACCCAATCTCATGTTAATCTTGAGTACCTATAGAGTAGTACTGCATCCTTCATATCTCCAAAAAGTCTTTAGTTTTATCATATTTATAAAAGAAAGATACAGCTTTACGATTCTCTCCGGAAACAGCCGAGCTTCTCGAGGCACGCTGTAGGCAGAGCTAAAGAGTGACGAGCACTTGGGCGCCGAATGCCAACAAAACATGTTACTAGCATGTTGTTAGCATGATTAGCAAGTTACTAGCATGATTCTAGCATGATTAGCATGTTGCTAGCATGGTTCTAGCATGATTAACGTATACGTATATGTGTAATTATAAATGTAATTACAGAAATGAATTACAGATGTAATTACATGCAGGTATTTTTTAAAATAGAAGTACAATGTCAAAACATGTGTGTACTGTACACAATAAGTGCATTGTACCAAATGATTAATTTAAAGGGGACATAACACACACAGTTTCACCCAATCTCATGTTAATCTTGAGTACCTATAGAGTAGTACTGCATCCTTCATATCTCCAAAAAGTCTTTAGTTTTATCATATTTATAAAAGAAAGATACAGCTTTACGATTCAAACAACTCTGAATGCATGAAACAGCATTGTACCCCCCCCTTTAAATATAAGTACATAGTAGTAGTTAAAGCCACCTAACATTGTTGCCATTTAATCATAATTCAATATAGGGATCGTAACATGGCAGTCTGTCTCAGGGTTGAGTTTAAACATATGTGCCCTCTCTCCCAGTTTGAGCCATGATCCTCAAAATATATGTGCCTGGCATCATAACATATTGTCATTAGAAAGCAGGCATCTGTCAGCGGATCTGTCTATGTGCAGATATATTAGGGATCTGCTGAAGAGCGTGAAGCATTGATCATTGTAGCCAATAGTGCTGTGTTCGATACATCGATACGACGATGTATCGTCACAGAGATCTGACGATACGAGTATCGATACAGCTGGCCCTGTATCGATATTGTGGCACGTGCGCTGCAGTGGACCGTGCTTAATTTGAATACAAGAACACCGTTTAAAACGGAGTAGAAAAGTGCAAGGTTTCTAAAAAATAATGGATAGAGCATAATATATAGGCTACAACAAGGTTTAATCTGGCCGCAGAGGAACACAACCGGGATTGCCTGATATGAAGAGACGTAATCCCCGAAACAGAGCTTCGCACTTCCGCAATACGGAAATATCTGCTAAGTGTGCTACTTATCTTTGTCAACCTGGCAACCCTGTGCTCAAGCGCTCTCTCTCCACTGCTTGCTTTCTGAAAACACTGGTTAGCTTGCAGTTTAGCGATCTCCAGCGTGGCAGCGCTAAAAAGTTTGTCTAAACGCTAAAAAGAATGTCTATGCGCGCAGTGTGATCTGACTAAATGTGTGCGTGAGGTAGCCTACGGTGAATACAGTGCATTAGTTTAGAACTCTTCTAATTTTACGTAGAGAGTGTGTTGATTTGTGCAATGATAACCTACCAGCAATGTTACGATGAACAGTTATGGAGGCCCTTCATAATGCAGAGGTCAACTGCCTGCTCTGCCAATAGTTAGCAGTATGCAGTGTTTAATAAACAGCTGTTTTACTAAATTCTTCTGAGGTGAAATTCAGTGCGTATCGTGGCCTATGTATCGTGATACGTATCGTATCGTGACTTTGCTGGTGATACACAGCCCTAGTAGCCAATCACAGTCATATCTGTTGAGCGCGTGAACACAATGGCCAATCAGTGCTGTTTAAGAATCCGCTTAACAGCACTCAAATGTTAGCGGGAAATGGACGTTTTTTAAATTTCAGTACCGACTGGTACTTTTGACAACACTACTGCACATACCCTGTAGATGGGCATGACATAAGTTTCAAATTTGGATATAATCTTTTCAGGCTTGATAAATGATGTGCAGCCTTTTTATTTTGCGTGACCGTGAGGATGCCAGAACACTAAAACAGCCAGTCAGCGTTATCAGAATAGATGTACTGCGTGGGACCAGGCTTTTATGTTGCACAGTCTGCCGATTACACAAGATCTCACTTGGGCATGTCATACAATCTGCTAAGCAACAATTGTAAAGGACAGACAAAAATATCACAGTATATACCCAGCAATCGAGTATATCAAATACTTATAACACCACCAGCACAGCCTTCTTTCCTCCACTCCAAATGACTTTCTCACTTTTCTATTCACACCACCATTCCTCTTTTGTCTTTCCGCTTCTCCTCCTCTGTTTCCTCCTGTGCAGGTGACCTCTATTCCCTTCTCTCTAAACTGCTGGGGGAGAGGGAGGACGCTGTCCACATGCATAAGTACAGCCCCGCAGAGGCGGCCCGAACCCAGACACGTCTGATGGCAGAGATTGATAGCATAATGCAAAAAAAAACCCTGGGCTGGCCACGTTTAGGCTACAAAACAAAAGAGGATGCAATTCTGGCGAGGGACAGAGTGCACAAGTTTCATCAGTTAGAGTCCACTGCCAGCCCCTCAAGGAGCAGGACTGTACCCGCCAGACAGCCGACCACAGGGGTGGCTCAGAGGGACCAACCAGGTGGGTTTCGGCCTCGTTTTTTTACCCCAACAAAAAGCAAGGACATAAATGTTTCAAGTATCTCTATCAAGTGCTGTGTGGATGTTGAGCTTTCAACACATAGGCCACAGTGTCAACTGAGACATGAGTTTGTCTACCACATATCCATTTGTTTTCCATTTGAAGCCTGTTTCCGCCCATCTCACTGCTGTCATTTATACTTTGGGTTGCAGAGAGTGTTTGCTTAATGTGTAATATTATAGCATGTGGTTTTAACAATTCTCTAATATGGAACATGAGAATTTCCTATAGAATAGATTTCAAGATGCATCAAAAGCTTTCGTCCTGTTGGTCAAAAAATCACCCCTGCGAGTTATTTTTGGTCGGTTTTGGAGAGAAAGATTGTAAGGAGTACACAACAAGTGTTATATTCAGACCCTTCATTTTTCACATTTTCATGTTGCGCAATTCAGACTCTTAACTCTACTTCGCAGCAATTACGGCTTCAAGTCTTTTCTGGTATGAAGTGAGAAGCTTTGCACACCTGGATTTGCAGATTTTCTGCCATTTTTCTGTTTAGATCCTTTTAAACTCTGTCAGGTTGTGTGGTGAGCATCAGTGGGCAGCCATATTCAAGTTTTTATTAGGTTCATGTCCAGGCTCTGACTGGGACACTGGGATTCTGCTTGGGATTCTGAGTTGTAGCCACTCTGTCATCGTCTGGGTTGTGTGTTTAGGGTCATTGTCCTGTTGGATAGTGAACCTTTAGCTCAATCTGAGGTTCTGAGTGTTCTGGACCAGAGTTGGGTAGATTACTTAGAAATTGTAGTCCGTTTCTGATTCCAAGTTACATGACAGAAATTGTAGTTAGTACCGTAATCCATTACATTACACATTTTAGGTAATATAAGCTGACTACTTTCTGATTACTTTTAGATTACTTTTTTGACCTATCTCGTTTATCACATTGAGGCTAATCTTGTACCATATTGATATAAAAATACAAAGAGTAAGAAAATACATTTCATTCATTGTAATTAATAACATGAACTGCATTAAACATTATATTACGTCAAGGTTTGCCAAACTGGGGTTCATAAAGGAACTGCAGGGGTTTTGTGAGTTTAATGAAAGCCCAATAATTAATGAAATTATAAAAATTTTAACTTAAAATAAGTCATTTTAGAATAACATCAGTCAAAATACAACACTTGCTAAAAAAAAATTATATTTTATTTGTTCGCCTGCATGTCATGTGACCATAACTAACGTCAGAGAACCATGAACATGCAAATGTGATGCTTAATTATTAAATATTTATTTTAAAATCTCAGGGGTATTTCAGGTAAATATATTAGGGAAAAGAGGTTCAGCTGACAAAGTTTGGGAATGCCTGCATTACATGTAAATAAGAAATAATGTGAATTTGTACATTTTAATGTGTTTAAAAGACAAAAGCTTTACAAAGACACAGTGATGGATGGTTAAATAACCTACTGAGTGATAATTCAAATAAAAATGTATGTGTTCATCAGTAGTTGAAGCAGTGTTCAAACACTTCTTTAAACTGAAATGATATTTATAAATCAGTGGTCAAATGTTGTGTAGTCACCTGATTGACTGATCTTTGTGTGAATGTCCAACAAAGTCCAACAAACAGCTGTAGGCTGTTTTAGAAAGGAATATTTAAAATATGAAAAAGTGGAATTAGGAAGAATCAATAAATTATGAATCATTTATTGCCATTGTGTGAATAATATGTATTTAATAAAAAAGTAACTGTAGTCTGATTATGAGTATTCTAAAAATGTAATTTAATGTATTTACCAGTACTTAATTTTTGGAATCTGATTACATAATCCAGATTGCATGTAATCAGTTACTACCCAGCTCTGTTCTGGACCCAGTTTTCCTTAAGAATATCTTTATATTTTGCTGTGTGCAGCCTTGCTTCCAAACTGACAGTGCTTTCCACATTTCACTGCTGAGGTGGCATTGTGCCAGTGATGAGCGGTGTCTGGTTTTCCTGCACACATGAATTGGAATTGATAAGCCCAGAGAATCAAGTTTAGATACTAGTCTAGAGTCCTTTAGGTGCTTTTTTTCCAAGTAGGCTTTCATGTGTCTTTACTGAGCAGAGGCTTTCGTCTGGCTACTCTGCTATAAAGCCCAGATCAGTGGAGTGTCGCAGTGACGGTTGTCCTTCTATAAGTTTCTCCCATTTCCACACATGATCTCTGGAGCTCAACCAGAGTTTTCTTACCAACTGCTCTGTTTGGCCAGGCCAACACGGTCTGTGCCTCAACACAGTCTGTCTCTGAGGTCTGCAGGCAATTCCTGTGACCTCACGGCTTGGGCTGTTTTTCAGTCAGAAGGCTTCATCCTAAGTAACGCTGCATATCTCAGCAGTCGCGTCAACATGCACCGTCGAAGGCCATCTCAGTTTGAAGGGTCCTTGGAAGGCAGCCTTTGTTTCACATCCTTCACTTGGCATAGTTTAAAGGCATATTTTAAATCCTTCCGTCCTTGAAACACCCACAATCCTTTGTACATATTCCAATTCACGAAAAAGAAAAATGAGGCAGCAATTTGCTCCCTAGAGTTCTTGATGAAATGCCAGACAAAAAAATTTTTCGGAGATGAATGCCTTGTTTTCTTTTGTTGTGTTGAGACCACACATGGTTGTCATTTACTGTGTTGCATTAATATAAAGTCAGATAGAATAAAGAAGTTTTTTTTTCAAAATATATTTTTTTATAGTATTTTCTAGGGCTGCCCCCTAATAATCGACTGACCGTTAGTCGACAAGAAGAGGCTTGGTCGACCAAAATTGTATTAGTCGCAGAAAAAAAATTAAAGAGGTCTCGCAGTCCGTGATGGACAGAACGTAATGGTTGGTCTGTGTGGTAATCATAGACTGTATAAAAACATGGACGTAGTGTCCGTGACGTCACCCTTAGATTTCTGAAGCTCAAAATTGGGCGGAGGCGGCCGTCGCCATCTTGGCAGCGCGTCACCGCGCGTCACTCCCAGATAATCGAAAATGGGCAAAGAGGCGGGAGCAGGTTGCTGAAGCCACGCCCACCTAGCTC